CTTTTCAATTGTGACTTTCTTTTTTTTTGAAATGATCAGGAAAGCCAAGGCGGCAACTGAGTTTAGGTTAGCCATTGAAGTCAAGGACAATAAGTCCTTTAGGTATGTAGGCAGTAGAAGGAAAACAAATGGAAGTGTGGGGCCCCTACTTAACACCTTGGGATAGCTCAGTCAGGAAAAAAGCGAACACCTGAATGCCCACTTTGCTTTGGTATTTCACTGGATCAAGGGTAAAGACAAGTGAGATAAGGCTCATAAGGACATGCCAAGAATGACATCCTTCCCCACTGTGGATGCTGAGCAGGTGGAATACCAACTAGAAAAGCTAGATGTTTATGTCAGCAGGACTGGATGGACGTCATCTGAGAGTGCTGAAGGAGCTGGCTGAGGTCATTGCAGAACCCCTGGGAAAGCTCTTTTAGAATTCGTGGTTCACAGGAGAGATCCCTGAGAACTGGAAGAGGGCCAACATTGTGCCCATCTTCAAGAAGGGGAAGAGGGAGGACCCAGGCAACTATAGGCCAATCAGCCTAATCCCAGGGAAAATCCAGGAAAAGCTCATTAAAGAATCTATGTATGATACGCTCGTGGAAGGTAAGATTCTGAATACCAGTCAGCATGGCTTTGTCACAAGTAGGTCTTGTCTTACCTATCTCATCTCCTTCTATGACCAGGTTTCTCACCACCTGCACATGGGAGATGAGGTAGACATTATATACCTAGACTTCCAAAAGGTTTTTGATCTAGTATCCCACAATATCCTTATGAGAAAACTGGAAGATTGTGGGCTCAGCTGCTCCACGGTTCAGTGGGTGGGAAACAGGGTACAGGGTAGGACCCAGAAAGTTCTCATGAATGGATCTGTGTCGTCCTAGTACAAAGTGACCAGTGGTGTCCCTCAGGGCCCGTACTTGCACCGGTGCTTTTCAGCATCTTTATTAATGATTTGGATGGAGGAGTGAAAAGCTCACTGGCCAAGTTTGCAGATGACACCAAGTTATGGGGCAGAGTGGTCATGTCAGAAGATAGGTTGCAGATGAAGGCGGACCTGGACAGGCTGGAGACTTGAGCAGACCGGAACCAGATGACGTTTTACACTTCCCAAGCATAAGGTGCTCCATCTGGGGGCAAACAACCCTCAACATACGTACAGGCTCAGTGGTGACAGCTTGACTTACACCATGGCTGAAAGGGACCTAGGTGTAATGATTGACCATTGCGTGAATATGTGCCGTCAGTATGACGCAGTGGTCAGCAGGGCAAATAACACGCTGGCATGCATCGCGTGTAAAACTAAGGAAGTGATACTCCCGTTGTACTCAGCATTGGTGAGACCGCAGTTGGAGTACTGAGTCCAGTTCTGGGTGCCACACTTCAACAAGGTCATGGAAAAACATGAGAGGGTCCAGAAAAGAGCCACCCGTATAATCAGGGACTTGGAAGACAAGCCATACGAGGAAAGGCTGAGGGACCTAGGCCTTTTTAGCCTAAAGAAGAGAAGGTTGGGACTTGATAGTGGCTTACTGCTGTATCAGAGGAGTGCATCAGAAGCTCAGTGAACAACTGAGGAAAACCAGGATCAATGGATACAAACTCCTGGAAGGCCGCTTCAGCCTTAATACCAGGAAAAACTGCTTCATAGGGTGTCCAGACTGTGGAACAAACTCCCTCCAGAGGTGATGCAGTCACCTACCCTGGAGGTTTTCAAGAGGAGGCTGGACAGTCACCTCACTGGGGTCACTTAACCCCAGATGTCTTCCTGCCTAGAGCGGGGAGGCTGGACCCAATGACCTGCAAGGTCTCTTCTAGCCCCTAACAATCTATGAATCTATGAATCTCTGTTACAGGCTCCAGTTCCCTGGGCAGTGGTATGCACGGAGCAGATCACAGCTTTTCCTGGGCCCCAACCCCATGCTCCTGACCCAGGCCCCAACTACCTGTCCTGGTCCCAGATACCGCTCCTTGCCCATGTGTGGATCCATCCTGTCCATTCAGGTGAGTCTGTGGGGGGTCCCAGGCCAGTCTCCATGGAGACCCTGGGGCTGAGGCCAGGATTACAGAATAGTGACAGCAAGGTACCAGGGCCCGGGCCTGGGCCCAGGGCAGAGTTACGATCTGCTCCCAGATCTAAGTAATCTACCACTTAGGGAGTTTTGCTGAGCTGTTGTGGGCAGGCGGGCAGGTGAAGGAGGAGGCAAGTGGTGATGAACCAGCCCACAGCAGCTCACCAGAACTCCCTAAGTGACTCTCCAACCCAAATAACTGTCCACCTCCATCCTAACAGCATAGAGAAGGAAGTTTCTTGAGCTAAAAGTAACAAGGTGAAGAACAAGGAGTGAAAATGGCATGTGGAGGGAGAAGAAACTTTGGGAGTAAAGAGCTTGAAGGGAAAACAGTAGAAGGCACTAAAGAGGTGGACGAAAAACAAAGGGGAAGAAGGGACAGGAGTAGAGGATCAGGAAAAATGAAAGAAAATGACAGTTCATATGTTCTGTGCACAGAATGAGGCAGCGATCCTATGGTACAGTGCTCTCAGGTGTGTGTATGAGTGGATATCTAAACATTTTTCTTCCCCTTTTTTCTTCTCCCTTTTTCAGTAAAGCTCTCTGCAACTTTATTAGAAAACTTAAATGAAAATGTAATAAAAGGGTTGTTTTTTTTCTCATTGTGTTTTTAGCATGCCTTAAAGTGAGATCACCTGCTGGTAGTATTACTGAGCTTTTATTCTTTATTGATACTTGAGTAGTTCAGGTTTGTCTCTAAAAGAATGGCACTGATTTCAGTGATTGGATGATAGACAATAATTTGCCTCTTTTGCTTCCGCTTTGGGAAACAAGTGTTAAAAGATGACCTCCGACTTGCACAGACAAAACCATTCAGGTATTTGGGTACCTGCTAGAAATGCATTTTTAGAGAAAGTGGAATTATTTTTAACTACCATGCTCAAAATGACCCAACAGATGTATTTATCCATGCAGGCAAATCTTTTTTTTCCCAAAAAACAAAACAAAACAAAACAAAAAAAAAAGCCCATTATTTTACCTGGTCTTTTTTTTTCTAATGATAATTTCCTATCTCTTGCTTCAGCAATACATAGACTAAAATGGACTTCTTTTCTGTGCAAATCTCAGTTTTGAGTTGAAATGAATGGAACTGGGATGAAAAAAATTACATGACGATTAAACAACACGGGAAAAATAGCACAAAACCAAGTACACTTGCTTCTTGAAATACCATATTGATATGACGACTCATGTTGATGTTTTTGCATGCTAGTTTCAGTGGAGATAAGTTTCTGCTTAAATAATTTTATTTCAGAGCATTCCCCATACTCTCAAAATAAATGCATATACATAAT